ATATACAGACTATATGTCTCTCCCATGAAAGTAAATTGTCAAATATTCTGAAATCAATGTTTGACACTGTTGGAAGGTAATTTATGAAGATCTTGCGGTGCAAGAAGTAAGTCGCCCTTCTCAAATCCTGGCGACGCGAATGATCGTATACCAAATTATTTCTAAATGCTTCGTCTTAATGCTCTCGTTTTAAAAAAATATGTTTTTAGTTTTTGCGGATGGTGCAATGTCCACGTTCCGATTTATCGTTTTGTTCGTTCAATGCTGAATATAATCACGTATGGCAAAGAAGCTCCAGAATGTTACATGTCAGTGACGGCGGACATTTTGAAAACTATGGCCTGTTACCACTGTTGAAGTTGCGACTACCGAAAATCCTTCTCGTTCATGGTTTGGAAATTAAATCGGATGACGACTACGCCAGGGATATCATAGTGGCAATGGAGCATGCGCGAAAGTTATTCAATTGCTCCTTTACTTCAATGGCTGGAAATGACGTGTTGAATGACATAGAGGAAAAGTACGGAAGAGATGTGTTAGATCATATAAGAAAACATAATTGTGGAGACGTTGTGTTGAATTATATAAACAACCAGTTGGGCGGCGATGTGTTGACAGATATAAAGAATGAGTTTGTCGAAAAACGTTCAAGGAAATACGAATTCAAAGTTCATTACTCAAAAAATAATTCAGAGGGTAGGTATATATTTCAACACATTAAACCCAAAGTGTTCAGCATACAGTAGTGCTCAGGCATTCAAATTATAACAATAGGATAATTTCTATAGAGGATTCTTCTTTGGGGGGGACACACTGTACATCATACATTCAAGTATGATCGTATGATGATTATACATGTGTATATACGTGTACATGTAGTTGTTATTTTTATGTAGATGACAATGGAGTTAGCGAAGGGCATATTGTCCTTATTGCTCCGCGCTCACCTGGGCGGGGTAATGCGAGCACGTCAGAGAGAAATTGCCAAAATGATCCCAAATGGCAAGATAAAGAATGTGAAGAAAGAGAATTGGATAAAAAGTGGGGTCTGGGACCGTATCTGACGGAAGGTGATGTGAAGAATATTGAAGGATGCCCCGGAGGTATTGGTTGCTGCGAGTGCTGTCATAAAAATTGGTGTGGCAGCTGTTTCCAATTTCCTCGTCACCCAACAGCAAACCAGTTTTATACTCCTTCAATGTTTACTGCTTATCACAGAGAAGGATACAGAGTGTGTATGGAATGCAACGAGTTTTTAGAAAAATAAACTATTGAATAACTAAATTTATGTGTTTACCAGGTAGTGGGCAGCCATCTCATATTAAAACTCCAGTAGAGAACCAATCGAATTATTTTATTTCAAGTCTTGCAATAATCTGTAACAATTGTGTAATAATTTAGTTTCTGAAGATGTTTGTAGTTAATAGGAAACGTTAGATATACGTATAAAATGCCATTGTGTACAATTTTATGCTGAGCTTTAACCCAATTGAGTGGCAGCACCCTCCCCGTCAACTGTCCCTCCCATATCATATTTAAAACTAAAAGTACAATATTAGCCGACCTATATACAGTTATATATTGCTTGGTTTTCAAGGTATTATTGAAAATGCTAAGCTTTAAAAGTAAGTATAAGTTTCAAAAATAGGAAAATAATACTTTTTGTCCCCCATGTTTTATTCGTTTTGAATTTCCCGCACTTGTGGCGATCGTTTGCGCAATAAAAGACAAATAAAGTTCGGCAAAACTTTCTGTTTGTTCTAAATTCTGAACGAAAACGTGTGTGTGATGTATGCAAGTGTGAAACTTTATTTAAACACGCTAGCCTCGAACAACTATATACATGCATGCAGCTGGCCACGTGGGGCGTCACACAATTACTAAAATATCTAGAATAACTAGAATTATTTACAAGTATATAGGCTAAATTGAGAAAGAAGAAATCAAAACACAAGTCAAATTTAAAAGAGTAAAAATATGATGTATATAATTATCTGAAAAAATATGAAAAATATAAAATATGATGTATATAAAGATGTATATAATTATCACTCGAAATTACCATTCTCGAAAAACCTTCAACATAAAAATTGAAGGACGAATAATTTTCACTTAATTATATCAATAAAAGTTTAGTTAATATAGCACAGTCAATAGACTGTGACTGTTGACTCGATAGCTCAATAGGTAGAGCGGCGGTCTATAGATACCCGAAGATGCGAGTTTAAATCCCGCTGGAGCCAACGAATTTTTCGTTGCTCGATTGCAGTGTCAGATTAATATGAAACTGGTTTTTCGTATCTCTGAGGATGGTTCTGAAATAGAATAGACTGAGTGTGTGACTGGCTTTCACGTTTTTAATTTATGCGCGTTCCGTTGCCCTGCTGGGCGAACTGCTGGGAAATAATTGCGTTTCCACGACTACTGAATCATTCTGCGACATTGCTAGGGGCGAGCATTATAAAACACACTGTAGTGTATAGGTATCAACGCTAACGGCAAAGCTGCTATAAAATTATCAAGTTAAGAATAGCCGCACAAGGTATGTATTTTTATTTTTATGCTGCGGGTTACAAACGAGAAAGTTTTCTATGACAAATTTTCATACGACAGGCCGTTTTACTTGCTCGTCTGTATAAGCATTTTTTCTATGACAAACACACGCTAGCATGCTAGCTTTCGTCATTGGAGATTTACATTATTATACGTCACGGATGTACGTAGTATTTTTTAACCAGCTATATGTGGCTTTCATATTACCAATCAATGGCAATCGTCTGCACCTGTTTAAAACCTGCTTGAAAAAGGAGTCACGAAGCGAAGGCTTTTGGCTTCACAGCATAGCACCACAGATGAGGTAAGATAGCACGTTGCTTAGATATATGATAGACCTTTGTCTCACATATAATCTTGAACTGTCTGTCACTCTGTCAGTGTATAGTGGTGCCAATAATAACAAGCTTTCGTTGGTGGGGATGCAACTACCTGAAAAAATAAGGAGAATTTCGACGTTTCCAGGCCCTCGCGATCTCATCTCGTTCGTAAATATTCATAAATACTGCTTACATTTAAGCGGTCTTATGACAAGCTATGATATACCAGGGCTGTTACGATTTAATTTAAGTCAGGCAGCAATTTTACATGAGTATACTGCCATGCAATTTTAGCTACACAGTCACAGATATTAATTTCGCAATATGGAAAGCACGCAAGAAACAGATGGACATGATTTGCCACAGCAATACTATATGCGATAACAAAGACTGGGCATGCAAGTTCTGAAGTTCTCAAAAAACAATTCAGGTGGTAAGTCCTCAAAAAAACATTTATGCAATGATTTCCATCATTCTTCTGTACGGTCTACGAATTCGGCTTTAAAAATGCCAAATACATCATCACTATATTACAGTTGCAAAATAATGGTTCTGGGTTATTTTAAATATTCGAAATGGTCAAATACCTAATTCAAAATCTCGCACCATGTATTTTTTTTAATTAAGGGGCTGTTGAGACAACCCGTTGAGCAAATTCACACCGTGTAGTTATTTTTATTTATTTTTTTAGTTATTTTTATTTACTAAAGAAACATTTACCTACATAGCCCATAGGACACTCTACTGAACTGATAGGATGCGCAAGAACTTCATACTATATAACCTTTGATATATTCATATTGTTAGTTTTATATATTTTTATCAGGGCTCCACTGAAAATCACTTTTGTGACTGGACCCCCTGGCTAAATATTGTAATTATTATTATTATCGTAAAAATCACTTTCTTGCCAAATTTATGAACAACCCTCGCTTGGGGATAAAAATCTCCATTTGAGCTTACTGGGCTCGCCCGATTTGCCTGGATGAAAGTTTAAAGATGCCACCGCGAACTATTCTTAACAACTGTCAAAACAATGTCAGAAGACAAATTCATCCCGCTTACCGGGCTGTCTCGCTGAGTGGGTGTGCCCGGTTTTAGTCATATAAACAGCCCCTACTCTAAGGGGCTGATTACAAGGAGGCGAGTTACCCGGCTAAACCAGTTGAAAAGCGCATCAGATCAAAGGCTTAGGCTCATTAGCCTTTGATCTCATGCGCGTTTCAACTCGCTTAACCGGGTAACTCGCCTCCATGTAATCAGCCCCTAAGGCCCTCTTTACACGAGCCCGGGTTGACTATCAACCCGGGTTGGCTTGCCAGCCCGGGTCAACCCGTCTACGAATAAATCTCTATTAGCGTTTACACGATAGCCGGGTCAACCTTTCACACCTCGCCAACCCGGGGCACCCTTCTCGAGACCCGGGTCGACCCGGGTTGGCGAGGTGTGAACGCGTGAAAAGTTTATTCATTTCTTCATGTAAAGCCAGGTTGGCTTGACCCGGGATCATGTAAAGTGCGGTAAATTCTTTATTGTGAACTTTGCACCTAGCGTCATATCGAATTCAACATTTTGCGTGCGCATTTTCTCCATCTCTGTTTAGTACAGACGTCTCTGAAGGATTATAAGACGGAGCTGAGATGGATTATAAAAATATAGATTTCAACTCCGATGTTGTCGCAATGTAAGTTGCGCGAAGGTATGGCGTTGGCGTTCGATGCCGAATATTTGAGGAGCTATCAAAAAAGAAAGAAAACGTCTTTAAAGCAGAATTAAAGTTGCTATATACGGTTAAATCCCTGATAAAAGGGATATAATCGTATACTGAAAGATATAAGAGCCAAAACTGAAAGAAATATGATCGTATATGCTCTATAAGTATAGTGTCCAGCGGTGGGCACGTGACTTTGGGATGGCGGGAAAAGCTTGCATGTGGACTTAGGGAACAGATTATATGCATGGCAGACTTTGTAGTTACAAGTACACGTTTAGAGAAATAAAAGAATATAATATTGGCAACGAGGATGGGATATCGGGGTTCACATGCACTTTCAATTGGTAAGCCATATCGTTTTAAAGTGGTCCACATGCCAGGGAAGACAAACCCTGCAGATGTTCTGTCCCGATTGCCAATTAGTGCCCAGCCTACCCGTGAACGGAGTGTAGCTGAAGAATACATCAATTTTATTACAGAGAAAGCAGTTCCTAAAGCCATGACACTGGAACAAATATCCAAAGCGACTCAAGATGATGTTATCTTGCAACGAGTTCAGCAATGTTTATTGCACAACCATTGGCCAGACAACCCTGACCTTCAGCGATTTGCCAAAGTGCGAGATGAGCTGTCAGCAAACCAAGGCTTGCTGCTTCGAGGAACTCGTATTGTCATGCCTAAATGCCTGGCGCCATCAAACCCTTTCCTTGGCTCACGAAGGCCACCAAGGCATTGTGCGCACTAAACAACTCCTCCGTCAGAAGGTGTGGTGGCCAGGAATCGATGTTGAAGCAGAGACCCTCGTCAAGACATGCCTACCCTGTCAGTCCACCATGCCGCCAACTATACCCGAACCGCTTCGTCCTTCGACCATGCCTTCCAAACCATGGCAGTCCATTCATACTGACCTCTGTGGCCCCTTCTCTTCGGGAGAAAGCCTGCTA